GCGACTGAGTCAGGCTATACCAATCAACGTCACCGTTTAAAGGTTTAATTTACGATCTCACTATATGGCTTTCACCGACTATACTTCGTCGATACATCAGACTCTGGTTTGATCGTAATTTAGCAATCTTCGTTAAATCGATTTCATTCGCAAATTCCGTTGCGTGCGTCTTTTTCTTCTTGAATGTAATTTCTCAAACGTTTTCCAGTGACAATTTGCTAGAAAAAGTATATTCTATCACATACAGAATGTTCAGCGAGATAAAAAGTTAGGTTAGGTTACGAAGTATTATTCCTGAAACGATTAAATTCCAAACACTTGTCCACTGACACTTTTTCATTTTCTTCAACGAGTTCCACCAGCTCGTACTGTTTGTACCTGTGCTTTTGAAACACCCTGTATGTGCATTATTTAATATACACCTTTGTACACGTAGAAAATGCGTGTTCACGTTCACAGTGGTTCTGACACCGCCAATGTTCTCCCTTGCTGTGCCAGCACAGATAGATTTTAAAAGTAGTACCGACACTTTTACTTTGAATTTATACATTTGAAAGATCGAGTGCCTTTTTATTGTTTCAAAAAGAACACGTAAGTGCATTCGTTACCATTTGCAATAATTTATTCGGTTTCTTTTGAGAGTGTAGAAGAAAATTTTACGTTGAACTTCAAGAACGAGAGTGATTTAAAATTTAGGAATGGAAATTTTGAAGTAAAGCATTTTGTTTCTTTTATTAAATAATCAATCAAAAAATTACTCTTCTAACTTTTCCAAATAGAATGACATAAAACAAAAAAATATAGGGAAAAAAAAACATTTTCATTACCAACCTAAAAGAAGGAACTCCGAATAACCTCTTATTTACCCATTATACGATCTAAAATCTCGTATTACTTCACGTTCTTCCTTTAGACAAAACATCAAAGCATACATTACTCAGTCTCAGAGGCTAAATTCAATCTTCTCGCTCGTCCTGCCATAAACTTCGTTTTCTATGTTTACAGTATCATCTGTGTTGTCCCTTTGTATCGCGTTCCTGGCTTATAAAATGTTATTGCGAGTGTTCGAAAGGGTCCCCGCGGCTCTGCTTCCGTTCCGTCGCGTTCCTTCTCCCCTCGGAAATGATATGTTTGACCCTAAGAAACGCGTAGGCCATCGAACGAGAATGGATGGATTGATCGCAATAAATTAAGCGAGCTCGGTTCCGCATCCTTCACGGCTCCATGAGTTTTTCTTTCTCGAATGTTTCGTTCGTGTCGAGTGGCGCCATCACGTGTCGCGATTCGAGAGTTCGAGGGGCGGGAAAGTGGGAGGTGTCTTAAGGTTTACTTACAAATTTAGGCTCGACCTTTGCAGCCTGTTTTCAAGACAATATGAATTTTTCATTAGTTTTCTAAGCACCTCTTGTTTTCATTATAAAGAATAATCATTTTAGACCTTTCATAAAAAATTGCAACGAAGATTAGTTTGTTTAAAAATATTCTGTAAATACATAGTTTGTAAAAATTGGGAAATGAAACTATGATCTTGGTTCATTGATGAGTTTATTTAGAATTCTTTTTTAAATTATTTCTGTTTTAAGCAATGATTTAAATAAAAAACTGACAGATAAAATCCTTTAGACGTTTTTAAAATATATCATTGTTATTGATGCTAGTTTAATAATATAATAATACAGAATTCATAAAATTGCTTAAAGTATTGATTATTTCCAGAAAGATTGTGCATATATCTAAAGTAGTAGTATAACAAGGATATGGTCAGACACCTTTGTTCATGCATGCAACTTCACTTCATATTTAAAACACAAAATTAAATAGGTTAGGTCACATATTTATACATATACGTTTTTCTTATTGCATTCAACCAAATTTTAATATGGTCTTATATTTTTCACTATGGAATTCGATAAATTTTTCTTCCTGATCATAAAGTACTTCTATTGAAAATTCCTGTTCCTCAATATTCCGAATTTTTCTCGGTATATTACGAAAGGTTCTAAACTATTTTTCAATCGATAATAAATAAACGTCTTGGGAATGGAGAACCACTGCTTTGGGAGAAGCTCGGTTAATTGCGTGATACGAATAGTTCCACGAAACTAGAGCCACAAAGCTATTTGCCGCGTTCCTGCAAATATGATTATACCGTGAAGAAGAATGCATCAATTTATTCGTGTTAACATATAAGCAAACAATTAAAAATAAATAATCCATGAAAAATAATAATTATAGAAATAAAATGCATACTTGATATCCAAATGAAATCCTCCAATATGCAATGGAAATAAAACCCCTCATTTTTTATTGCTGCAAACGCTCTAAATAACAATATACAAATAAACTGAAAAAAACTTTAATAAAAAAAAATTTTTTTTTTTTCAATTACTAAATGTGTTGAGAATATACTCAACAAATTACATACTATTGTAACGGCGCTACTTGCTTGTGCTGCCCCCACGAGTTACCGAAATCAATTTTCTCAAAAACGAAGGCTCGTATGGGCAAATTTTATTCTACACCTTTTACTTATTTTTAAAAAAGTTCAAATTAAAATATTTGTATAATTTACAGAATAAAATTGTTACTATATAATTTAATAGGTGCACGGTTAATTCGTTGCAAAATTAGAAGATTGAAATACCGACTAACATGGCAGCGCCATCGTCAGCGGGATCTTACGGTGTCAGAGATTAGAGCATTTCATTTGCTCGAACCGGGGCGAGGATTAACGCGTTACTTCGCAACGTCATGCATTTATCTTCATTTTTGGACAGCACAAAAAGGCAATTTCCAGTGTCGCGAACTTAAACGAACGACCTTTCCAACACGTGAAAAGTCTAGCCTGTGTTTGTTGTGTGATATACTATCTTCTTACATCTCTACACTCTCGTCATTCATAAAAAATCAT